GACAATCTGTGAATGAATCAGTGAGATGTTGATCATTTTGTTATGAAATTTTGTTGCCAATTATTATTAATAAAATAAGAAATTTCAGTTATTTTTTAATTTTACTGTAACAACATATAAGTTCATTTGATAGGTTTCATTAAAATAAAAATTTTTTTGTTGATAAACCAATAAAAAAAAAGTATAATTTTGGTCAGAATACTTTTTAATGTTGGCTGAAAGTTAAAAAATTCCGAATTTTTATATGTTATTGATTTCTTGAAATCTCGGTGACAAGCATACAAAAGTTTTTGAAGAACACTCCAATCCCTTTAATATTTTGACATATTATTCTATGAGATTTACTTACACATTCATAAAAAGAGCAAGATTTGTAATACAAAAATATTATGATTTATTATTTGTTAAACATTGTCAATTGATGATTTTTTACCATTTTTGCCCCACCGATCCTATGGATCATTAATTAAACAATAAAAAGAAAATTACAATAGAAAAATACATAAAAATATAAGTTAAAAAATCGTCAGACTTCCATGGGAGGACCCAAAGCCATTACCTATTCTTTGGGCACTCAGACAAAAATCCAACTTTCACTATTACTACTACTATTATTAATTTTGATAATATCATTGTTAATATTCATATCTTTGTTGTTTTCATTATCTTTTTTATCTTCACTCTCTACTTCTTTCATCTTTTCTTTCTCAACCCACTGTTGGATTGCTTCTAGGGTTTGTTTTTTGTTGATAGAAATTTTTAACAATAGAAGCAGCAACTTTTTTCTCACCAAATAATTCACGAATTTCCATGGCCATTTTACCAAATGAAAAATTGGGGTTCAACCCAGTTGTTTTGTCAAATAATTGCTTGAAATCCTTTCATATATTTTCTATTTCTTGTGAATATTGTTTATCACTAGTAAGTTTGTCTGATTTATTTTTGAATTGGCTTTTACTTGGTTTTATTTTATTGATTATTTGATCAATTTTTTGATTTATAATAATACAAAATTGATTTCTGTAAGTTTTATCATGAAATAAGAAACCAAGGAATGATCGGCAGTCAAAAAATTATCTATATACTAATACTGTATCATAGTAAAAATCATGTTACATACACTCTACCCTTAAACGGAAAATTTTTTAAATTCGTGTCACCATTAAATGTCACGTGACTCGGAAATTTTATTGCATTTTTGAACATAACTCATAGTGCAGGTCACTTAGTCCCACAACTTTCTGTGCCACGCCACCAACTTTGAGAAAAAATTTCCAATCAAAAATGCAGTAAAAATTTCACAGTCACATGATTTTTGAAAATTGTCAAGTGCTAAATAAATATTAATATATTAAAATTTTTCTTTTACATTCCTATATGGGGGATGCTGCAACATAACCAGACAAAGTGAACATTTGTATTACAAAGAATTCAAGGATTGAAATTTGTAATAGCAATAATAATAGTAATATTACAGAAATCAATACAATGAACATATCTAATTTGTAAACATTTTTTAAAGTATAAGAAATTAATATTAATAAGTATCCTAACCCTCCCCTAGATTTGGATTTTTTTACTTTGATCTGATCAAATAATTTTTGACCAATGTTCACAGTATACATATTATTATGAAATTTTTAATAACATGAAAAAAATTTTTTTTTTTGATTATTTTTATTTAAGAGCTTATCTCAATGAGTAACTAAATCACACCAATTTAGTACTTTTCCATGGATCCAATGTCTTAGAATATTAAATATCAAACAAGTATCAGTGATTAAATCACTTTGAAAATATCCTTCATTAGTGGCACAATAGAAGATCCATTTCATTCCATCTGTTATATAGATGCTGGTCACAATTCTTGGTGATGGTTGCAACCATATTTGCGACATATAAAAATGGTTTGCAACACCTGGTTGCAACCACCTTTGTGACCACTTTGGTTTCCTTTTTTGAATTGTGACATGGAACACTAATCTGTTAAAACTACATGTGCATTTTGATTGCTGGTGATTAAATCAAATGATGAGATGCATGAAATATAAATCTATGAACAAAAAAAAAATAAAAAAATAAACTCACTTTTTATCTTATTTTTTAATAATGTTATCAACTCTGCAAGTGTTTGTGCCTCCCCAGTATCAATTCTCCCTCCATGTTTGGCTTCAATAATGGTGAACAATGCATGTTTTTTAGGTTTACTAGTGCGAGCATGCAATCCGAGTTTCCTAATTAATAAGTTATTTATAGCTCAACACACAGCCTACCTGCTGACTTACAGTTGATTCTATTGTTTGACACACAGCCTACTCAATGACTTATGGTCAATTTCCTTATTTATATATATATGACACACAGCCTTCTCACTGACTTACAGTCAAAGATTAACTTTTATCCTCCTGGATAAAAGGGTCCCTAGGTTCTGTATATATATGTAATTATATCCCAAAGGCATCCCCTTGAGATGTGTCTCAATAATTAAAATGTTGGTTATTTGCTATGGGTAGCAAAGGTTCCCCTTTGTGGTTTATTAATTAATTAGAGATTTATTATTTTAGGGTAAAATATGTTGTGTTTTATTAGTGATAATAGTATTATTATTACAGATGTGTTAGGAAGTATTAATTACTAGATCAATAATTAAAAGATTGTTATGAACATTGCAATCCGAGTTTCCTAATTAATAAGTTATTTATAGCTCAACACACAGCCTACCTGCTGACTTACAGTTGATTCTATTGTTTGACACACAGCCTACTCAATGACTTATGGTCAATTTCCTTATTTATATATATATGACACACAGCCTTCTCACTGACTTACAGTCAAAGATTAACTTTTATCCTCCTGGATAAAAGGGTCCCTAGGTTCTGTATATATATGTAATTATATCCCAAAGGCATCCCCTTGAGATGTGTCTCAATAATTAAAATGTTGGTTATTTGCTATGGGTAGCAAAGGTTCCCCTTTGTGGTTTATTAATTAATTAGAGATTTATTATTTTAGGGTAAAATATGTTGTGTTTTATTAGTGATAATAGTATTATTATTACAGATGTGTTAGGAAGTATTAATTATTAGATCAATATTTAAAAGATTGTTATGAACATGATGATCTGACTTGGTCTAAAACCAAGTCTTTTTATACCTCTTGGGGTATTACAAATAACATGACTTTTACTCTATTTTGTCCAATAAACTATGCTTATTAATGTAAAATAAATATTGGGGTCAACTGAGCATTATAAATAATAATTAATAATTTAAAGTAAATATTTGCATCAGCTGAATAAGTTCTTGAAATATAAATATAGAAATATGAATATGAATAATTGTACGTGTGATACTGCGCAATGTGTGGCGCAATAGTTTCACAAAATATAATATTAAAATAAAAATAGAAATGATGTGGTTTTCACGTGACTTCCGCAGTAATTTGGTTTGGTTGGATCGGCAACGTGGAGACCTCTCTATCGGTCCTTATTTTACTATCTCACACTAGTTCCAATCTGCCACTAACCAATCTACATGCCCTCCAAATTTCAACAATGTTTTCTCTGATACAACTGTAGACTTAAACAAGTACTCAGGATATATTTCAAGTTTTTTGTTATTTTTGTGGTTTATAGCTTCAATGAGATACATATCCACTAATGTCTGCATGCATTTTCATTAGACAAATTCTGGTACAGTCAGATCTCCATAAATGCATGCTATGTCTTGGTCCCAACCTCAGGACTTAGTGATAAATGCACACCCTCCATACTCTGCAC